GGAGGGGGTGAGGCGCTGGGCCCCCGGGGCAGCCGTGACTACTGAACCCGGGAGGGATGTCTGTCTGGCACAGGCAGCTACGGCACACGTCAGTCATTCACAAGCTCAGTTACTAGAAGTTCCATAAAGCCAGACAAGGAGAGGCAAAAACCGATTCTGGCTTTCTCACAGAAGTCTGCGAGGCGTCGTCCCCTCCCCACCCAGGGTCTGGAGCAGTGATCAAGCCCCAGAAAAGATCGCTGTGAAAGGAGACCACGTCCTCCTGGAGCGCTGCTCGCTGGGGGAAGGGGCCCGCTCGCCTTGGTTCCCACGGAGACACAGACTGGCGGCAGTGTGAGAGAGGCCGACTCTGGCGGAGCCTGGCAGGGTCTGGGCAGGGGTGAGCTTTCAGAGGGGACGTTTGCAAACACAGAGGCGACACTGCGTCACAGCCCCCCGGCTGGGTCCTAGGCAAGGTGGGTGACGGAGAATTCCAGCCGCCGGGGCCAGACGCTGCCAAAGAACGTTCGTTCGCTGGCTTCTTTGCTCTGTGAGGAGGGTTCCTCCCTGGAGCAGGTGCAAGGCCAGGGAGGGTCCTGACGGAAGGCCACCCCTCAGGGTCCCTCGCTGCGGTTCCCAGGTGGGAGCGGCCACGAGGGTGCTGGGGCTGGCGCTTGGCACCGCGGGACGGAGGCTCTACCGTGCCTGCCCCGCAGTCAGCTGGCGTGCTTTTAAATGCGGGCTCCCAGGCTCCACCTGGCGGTTCTGGTTCTGTGCATCCCAGCCGAGCCTGCTCTGTCCTGCAAGGGGGGGTGGGGGAGGGGGGCGTCAAGCGGTGCAGGTCTCCCCCCACCCTCCACAAGGCCCTTCTGGCCTCAGCATCCTCCCGCACACCCCTTCCCCAGGGACCCACCCTCCCAAGGGCTGCCCCTGGTTTCCGTCCACCTTCTGTAACTTGGAGAGAGGGAGTGCAGGGTTGGGCATGGGGAGCTCCTGGGGGTAAGGGGAGGGGGAGGGGTGTGGGGAGATGGCAGCGTGGGGGTGTGGAGGGTTGGAGGTGTGGGAGCTCCTGGGGCTGTGGGGGGGGTGAGGGTGAGGGGGTGCCTCAGGGGGAGGAGGGGTGCAGCCCCCCACCTCCTGCACCGCCCACCCCCACTTCCCTGGCCTGGCTGGGTGTTGTATTTGAATATGTGCCCCAAGTCGGAAACTGCTCCTAGACGTGAGGGGCGGGCCCCACACGACCTGGCAAAGCTCTTCCTGTGTCTCATCTGGCATCTGCACCGAGCGCCCAGGCTCCCCTCCACCAGTGGGCTTTCTGGGTGGAAGGGGGTGGCCTCAGCATCTCCTGCCAACGGAGACTGAGCGCAGAACGTGCAGAACCCCATGTTCCACGGAGACAGTCACTGACCGTAAAGTGACTTCCCCCCTTTCAAAAGTGAAATCGTGCCCCTCTGCGAGCGCACGTTTCCTCGAATTCCCTTTGTGGGGGGACCCCCTCCCTTGGCTGCAGCACGTGACCTGCACGGGTGACTTCTCAGGGAGGTCTGCGTTTTGGTCCAAACCGTCGGCTTCAACACCTCATTTAAGTGGGATCTTTGTGTAGAGACTCTTATCTTCTTGTTTTCTATGAAGGAAAAACGGTTTCTAAAGTATCCGTGTGTGAGTGTAAACGTCAGGCCCAGAATACAGCTGCTTATTAATATGATTTTATTTTCCTGGCCCCTTTGTCTTCACTAATTGAGTGCGTTGCCTCTTTCCGCATTTCTGTGTGCCTGAGTAAATGGGAAGTTGGCAGTTAAGGATTTCTTTTATTCTGTTCGGTTCATCGCTTGCCTGTGAATGCTGTGATCTGGGCTAATTAGACATCTCATCGCTTTGTTCCTAAGCTGACTTCAGCAGATGGCTGATTTATTAGCTTATTTAGCCTAAAACAGCACGTGAAGCATCGAGGGGTCCTATCCTATTCTGTTTTGAAAATATGTTTTAAACTGGGTCTGAAGAATGGGTAGCAGTGGGGTCTGTCCTGCCTCCCGCCCTTTGGCAGCCCGGACGAGGGCCTCGGGGGCAGGTGGCTGCTGTGGGGGGCTGAGCGCTCTAGGGGCAGTGGGGAGGGCTGCGGGCCCCTCACAGCCAGGAGCCCGAGGGCATGTGGAGGCCTGGCCAGATCAGAGGCTTCTGCTCTGCAGGCTGGAACCTACTTGTCCAGAGATCCCTCTCCTCCAAGCTTTGGTTCAGAGCAAGATTAATTACAAAAGCAGCTTTGCCCGCAGACAGTGGGGCAGCAGCTGGGCTTCCGTCCACGCCTCGGAGCAAGGAGAGGCTGGAGGCAGGATAAGCGTGTGGGCTCCAGCCCCTTCTGGGCCTGGTGCCCCTCAGAGAGGGGAGGAAAGAGGCAGTGAGGAGCTCTGCTTCTCGTGTCCACAGCCTGCCTGTGTGCAGACGGACCTTGCTGCTCACAACCCCTACTGATGGGGTTCAGGGAACCCGGGGAATCCCCCTGCCATGCCCAACACGGAGCTGGAGGGGGCCTCGTGGACCTGCCAGACAATGCCAGCCCCCGGCAGCCGCCTAGGAGCCCCCCGCAGGCCAGCACCCAGGAAGGTGGTCCTGCCAGAGCACAGGGAGGCTGGGAGGGCTGCACAGGGAGGCTGGGAGGGCTGCACAGGGAGGCTGGGAGGGCTGCACGGAGTCTAGGAAGGAGTGTGTGTCAGTTGCATGAGCTCGGACTGACCCAGCAGAGCAGAGCCCCCGTCCGGGACGGGGGAGTCCCGCTGCGGCCTGAGCGGTGGGGCTCTCGGTCCAGGGCTACCTGCTTTGCTTCCTTCCGGTCTCAGAGCCGGGAGACGCTGGCGGGGCTGCTGCCGTGGGGACCCTCCCGATGCTTGTTCCTAGCTCTGCTCCATCTGTTTCTATGGTAACCGCAGATCTGTACTCTGCCTGCCTGTGTGATTGTGTTCTGTTCTCCTTGTAGATGGAGGAGATAAAATTTAAAGACAGAGCAGTCTTCGTGCTGGAGAGAGAGTTAGGGGTTCAAGCCGGGCATGCTCAGAGACTGCAGCTCCAAAAAGAGGCTTTAGATGAGCAGCTGTCCCAGGTCAAAGAGGCTGATCGGCACCTGGGCAGCCCCAGGCGGGAACTTCCTTACGCAGGCGGTGCAGGAGACGCCTCAGACCACTCGGGAAGCCCTGTAAGCACCTCCCCACGCTTTGCCTGGTGATCCAGAGTCACAGACAGACACCGCTGCACGTAGCTATGTGGCCCTGCTCTGGCAGCTCCCCAGGGAGTTGAGAGCCTAGGTCCAGAGTCCAGAACCAGAACCTCCTGCCCCGGGGACTGACCATATGTGCAGCCCACCAGCCAGACCCCAGACCCTTCGGCTTATCTGGCTCGGCTGGGAGGGCAAACAGACTTCCTTCCTTGCTAACGTGACACAGCACTGGCCGTCACTTGATCACCCTCCCGTGGGCCCCCAAGGCTTCAGGCTTCCAGCTGGAGCCCACCTGCAGCTGCCGGGATCCCCCGGTGGCTCAGGGCCCTTGCTTGCTGGTGCTGGTTCCGGCCCCGGGCTAGCGGGATGAGGCCATCTCCGAGCGCACGGGCTCCTGGCTCCTTACTCGCCCACATCCCCACCAGTCACCCCTCACCCGCTTTTTGTGTGACCATGCCACCTTTCTGCTGCTCTTCGGCCTGCTGTGACAGCGTGGGGGCAGCCAGCAGCCGCAGGGCCGTGACATCATTCATTCGTCATCACTGCTCCTCATTCAGAGCCCTCTGGAGTGGTTCTGGGAAATCTGGGATGGGAGGGTGGGGAATCTAAATTCCATGGAGCCTCAATGCGGGTCCTGCTGGGCCTGCTCCCTAGCCTCTCCTGCACCTGCTGAATGAGGAACCCTTCCTCAGTCCTTCCTGGACATGCATTTGTTTGCTCCGAGGACAAAAGGTTTGAGCTGAGCCAGCCCGAGGACAGCGACATTTCAAGAATAGAAAATGATTTTTTATAATCTTATTATAAATGGCTTAACTGAATTAAATCCTGCTCTGGCACTTGATAGATTGCAGTCAACTCCAGAGAGATTTTGAAACTGGATCAAAACGTTTTCACTGATTTTTGAATGAGGTTCCAGACGTTTCAAAAGTGACCTTTTAGAACCTCAGTGTGAGGGAGCACACTTCTTGGGAAACCGCCCTTTGCAAGCCTTCAGTTGAACTTCTTTTCCTGTGCTCAGGTCCCATTGCGAGGGAAACAGGCGCAGGGCGGACCTCCCCCCCCTGAGCCGTGGCCAGCAGCC